CTTAAGTTTAAAACATTCTAATCCAATTTCAAAGATGACAGGAATAATAAATAGTTATGTGGGGGCTTTTAAGAAAATTTGCTCAAAATACGCGCCAGCACTGTTATATACGAAATTCGGTAAAAAACCCAAAATCGCCATATTCAGATGCCTTAAAAACCACGTTAAAATTGAGTTAGAGATCTGAAACATTTTTCAAAACTTCAAACAAGTTTTCAAGTTTCAGGAGTATCGGGAAGTGGGTTTTCTGGAGCCACTGTTTTACAACAAATTGTGGTGAAGTATATCTATCTATATATTGTAATATGTAGTCAGTAGTTGAGTATTCTAACAGTGCTCTATTTGATTTTGACAGCTAAAAGAGCTGGAACGTAGTCAGTATCTGGAGGTACGACCTCATCTGACTCGTTTCAACAACGACACGAATATGATGGAGAACGTAGCAATGAACACGGACAATGAGGAGGATGCTATCACCACCCTTCCCGGGGCAAAAACTCGTTTCGGGAGACCCAACTGGTTCAAGGACTTTGTAGAAATTGGATAGAAGAACCCCGCGTGAGTAAATGGATAAAACATTTTGCATGGTGTAGGTCTGCTGTAAATACAGTACTGTGTTATACTACAGGGATTTTATGTCATGAACATACATACATGTTACATGGCGAGATCTCCATCCAAAAGGATTAGTCTGCGTCGACTGCGTCATTACTTTGTATTATCTTATTATACAACTTCGGCGGGTAACATTTCTCCATCCCTTTCGGTCTGCAGCTAATCTTATCATACAATCAATCGTGAGTCCATTCCGATCCAATCTCTGCTCAGCATCCTCAATAAATACATCATTCAAGCTCTTCCTAGGCCTGCCTCTTGATCTCTTCCCAGTTCCCATGCTTGGGTTTCCATTCAAGTAAATAGCTGGGTAACCGATCTTCAGGCATTCTACTGACATGTCCAAACCAACGCAGCCGTTTTGCAGTTATTGATGCTCTTCTTAAAACATCCTCATTACTTAGTACTTACTCGATGGAACCACCTCACTCTCAGGATTCTTCTTAAGCAGTACTGATGGAAAGACTCCAATCTTCTTGTCTGCACTTGAGTCGTGTTCCATATCTCACATCCATAGGTCAGAATGGTAAGAACAGCTGCGATGTAGATTTGCACTTTGTTGTTAATGCTTATGTTCTTATTCTTCCAAATGTTGTTGAGTTGGTTAAAAGCTCCGGTTGCTTTCCCAATCCTGACATTTATTTCTTTATCAATCTTGCCATCTGATGTAATTTTGGCACCCAAATAAGTGAATCGAGTCATGAATTGTCATAAACAGGGAGTCATAATTAGTAATGCTCAGATATGCTAGCATGAATTTGTCTTATCACTTCTTATGTATACTGTATAGTCTGTTAAAAATCGCGGAATCGCGATTTTTGGGGAAAATAATCGCGATTTTCTTTTGTACCTGTGACGATGGGACTGAACAGTTTAAGTTTTTGGCTGCCAAACCGGAAACGACCGGATATTCCAGTTCTAGTTTGCCGCATTTTGACAGACCGGAACCGGATAATAAGAAAGTAAGAAGAGGAAATTTAAGGCAGCTGGAAATTTCCAGAAAAGTGATATTAATCCTTAATTGTGGGTTTTTATCAATCATAATATTAAAAGCCATGTGGACACACTAAGAAAGTGCTTACAATCCGACTAACTGCGAGCAGAGGTCACTGGTTGATCTGCTGTGCGAGCAGTGCAGAGGTCACTGATTGATTCACTGTATGAGTAGAGCTAGAAACGAGTTGGAATAAAACCAAAACTCACATTACAAGAATTTACTGCGCTTTACCTAGCACAAATATACAAATTCTTTTCTATAACTAAATTCCAAAATCCAGCTCTCATAAGTTTGTGGCGTCGGCATAACCGAGTATAATGTCCAAAGTTTTGAATGGCATAATGGACTTTGTTTCGATCCTTGACATTATAAAGTTATAAGGGGAGTTAGCGACGGGTTTGCTAACCACAATAAAGCAGGAACCCTCTTCTTGAAATGCTCATAAATAAAGCATAAATGGCAGCTGTTTTGACTCTCTGTGTTACACATCATCTCGCATGAACGGGGCTATAACTCTATAACTCTATAACATTCGCTGTCAGATAACAAGCGACCGTGGAATTCACTGGTCACTGAGAGCACTAACTGGATGCCCCTTAGCTCCTTAGCAAGAATTTAAACAAATATATACATTTCAGGAACCTTTAAAACAGAAATTTCCCCGTTGAATATTCGGCAAAATTTTTGGAAACCGGACCGGAACCGGAACCGGATATTAAACTTAAAAAAATTGTAAGCATCTTATTGGAGGAACACTGAACACGAAGGACCGAACACCGTTGCTGTTAGCTTGAGGAGGTTGATATTAGTACAGGTTAGACACTAGATGAAATGATCGCTGCTATGGAGACCCCCCACAGGGCTAGCGCCGTGTAGTGTTAATTGTTTCTTCTCTGTGTGTTGTTAGCGTGCTGTTGAGTGTTGCTTTGCTTTACATTTTATGCGCGTGTTTATCGAATCTTTTAATTCACTATTTCTTTAAACATATAGCAAATAACTTTTATAACTGTGATCAGAATTTGAACATCAAACTTTTTGCAATTTTGCAATGTGATAATCACAATGCTGGCAAGCATTACCGTCGCCCTTATATTCACAATACTATTTACCCCCTATACTAGTATATCCCCTTTATTGTTTTCCAGGCATTAAGACTCATCGAAAGTAGTTCAGCAGGCATATTTAAGTTTAAAACATTCTAATTCAATGTTAAAGATGACAGGAATAAGAAATAGTTATGTGGAGGTTTTTAAGAAATTTGCGCAAAATACGCGCCAGCATGTTATACGAAATTAGGTAAAAAACCCAAAATCGCCATATTCAGGTGCCTTAAAAACCATGTTAAAATTGAGTTAGAGATATGAAACTTTGCAGGGCGTCTAGACCTTGTCCAAATCGACTGTAAAAAAAATTTCATGTTTCAGGAGTATCGGGAAGTGGGTTTTCTGGAACCCCTGTTTTACAACAGATTGTCGTGAAGATATATATTATATATATATGTATGTATAGACGCTTTTTGCAGTCAATTGTAGCCTACATTTAAGTGTCCGTAGATTCGAAAGTATAAACGATACAGTCATCTCGAACCACAGGTTTTGAAAATAATCGTTTAAGCTTTAGTTTACATTGTATTGAAAAATAATTTAACTTCATCATCATCACTTGATGACGTCATCAAGTTAAGTGTTTTTAAAACTTGACTTTTGACAAAGTAACAACTTTTCAAATCGATTTTACACTATTAAGAAGTAATTTTATTCAAAATCTGAGGACATTTTTACCTTAGATAATTGTTCAAGCATTCCGAAAATCTACCGGAATAGTTTCCTACCTTGCTCCTTCATAAAGATATTTGCTATTGAAGTTAGTGCTTTTTTAAAGAATAATTTTATAAAAACACAAAAGTTGTGAATTAGTATTCTCTGGTGTTGGGCCATCCCTTGGGTTGTGGAGCTCAATTTTGCTTCTTAAAGGTGTAAATTGTGTTATAGGCTAGTTTTAAAGTTAAAAATCGAAAAGTTGCACACGTGGGGACACGACCAAACTGATTTAAAATAGCTAAAATCACTAAAAATTTTGATTTTCACGATTTTTATCAATTTTGGAGTCCCGTTGTGATCCAAGTTCTTTTTGAAATCTTCTGAAACTTTGCATGCTTATCAAACCATATATTAAATACCACTATGCAAAATTTTACGGTGATTCAATATTGTATGCGTACGCAACGTCCGCTCAAAGTTTGCACGTGCGAAAGGCGAGAATTTTGCTCATTCGTGATTTCGAATATATTCTGCTTTCCACGATATTTAAATGGCATTATATATGAATTTAATGCAAACTTGAATGAGTAAAAAGTGCCATATTCAGTCGGTTATCGACAGATATACCTAACTAAACACAAGGAAACGTTTTCAAAGGCAGAATTTCGAAATCGTCGAAATTACCTCCTTGTTAATGAAGTTTCGACTGTGTAAATTATCCTGACATTATAATCAAAAAGAGATGATATTTGACCAAAACCCATAATCATGGGTAGAGTGTACCGCTGCCAGTGTCTCTCTTTTCCAAACAAAAGGAAATGATATTAATTTAAGGAACCGTCCGCTAATGCAAATTGATACCGAGAATGAAATCGGTCGCTCGATTTTTCCATTCGATCACGGCTTACGAATTGTAATAAAGCTTATTGATTTGAAAAAGCGAGCGACCGATTTCATTCTCGGTATCAATTTGCATTAGCGGACGGTTCCTTAAATTAATATCATTTCCTTTTGTTTGGAAAAGAGAGACACTGGCAGCGGTACACTCTACCCATGATTATGGGTTTTGGTCAAATATATCTATAATAATTTACTATAATAATTTGCTATAATAATTTGCCATAATTATTTGCTATAATTTTGTTGTCAGTTGTGTTGGATCTGTTTTGTCTTTTGAGCCCAAGTTTGAAATCGCAGAGACATCATGATTATACAAAGATACAATAATCTGATTTTCAGATCATAACTTAAACTACTTTATCTGATATTATTTGGAACAGTTAGCTGGACTTTAAGCTTTTAAGTTTAATTTGGGCGGACATTAATATGTGGACGTTGAGCCCTCCAGCAACCAGCGTATACGTTATTTACGCCCAAATAAAGTCTGATAAGGTTACAACACTTGACAAACAGTATATATATGATCACGGGCCCGGGATATTTTAACATTAAACGCGCGCCTTATGCAATATCACGTGTGCTATAACGTGTTGCTATGTCAACCGCGCGTAATCGTGCATACGAATTCAGCCAAGTCACAGACACAGTTCGCATTTTAGTTCGTTATATCACATACAATTTAGATTGATGATTGTTCATTATTTCATTATGTTACAAAATTAGAAACACTGAACAGATATGTTAGGCTTAGACAATTGAGAAGGAACGATTAGCGAAACAGACAAAGTACGATTTCAACAATCTAACAATGAACGAGGATTCGAAAGAAAGAAATATTTCGACCCTTTTGACTGATGAAAAAGTTTGGTCATGGAAAAATACCAAAATCGATCTCCAAGCAATGCACATGGATCCCTTATACAGCATTTCATCGACTTCGGGGCTCCAGCTCAGAAAAACGTTCAATTTCAATCACGCGATCGATTACCTTGCAGCAACAACAAGTTTTGGCGGTGAGACATTCATAGCCGTCCAAAGCTTGTCCTCGAAATCAATCGTTCACATCTGGAACACAGTTCAACACAAAAACTGCAAAGTGAAGCTGCAGTACCGAATAAACAGCTTCATAATCGTGAACAGTTTGATGATCGGCGTGGCTCTGTGCGGAGATGGTAAACTCCGAGTTTACACTAGCGTGCCTACTCTTGTAGAGGTGGCCGCATTTGAACTCGTAAAACCTGCCACATATCCAGTTTACAATCCCTTCAACAAAGACATCCTCCTGGGCGGCATCAGCGAGGTCAACGTGTGGTGTTTTAGAGAGGAGCGGAAGGGGGAGAAGAAGAATCCGCTTTCCGAAGTGATCAGAATGAACTTGGAGCGGGGCCAATCGTTTAACCCGAGTCTAGGTGATCAGTGGGTGACGTGTATTACAATTAACGAGAAGTCCTCTCAGGTAAGTTTTTACATCATTACAAGTTAACAGAAAATTAGTTTATTATTATTAAGTGGCGAAATATTCAGCACCGATTCTTAATGAGTTAATGTTTAGTTTTAGCAACAACTTATTGCTAAATGTTTACTGTGTTATTACTCTCGAAAAGGTTGTTATAGCAGCGGAGACACTGGTGTCGATAGTAGACGCAAACACCTACATAGTTAAGAACCTCATCAGGACCGACACCTGCTCGACCATCACCCAGTGCACCCTCTACAATGCCATGGACTACACCATTACCGGTAATAGCGTATATCTAGACTTTAAATTCATCTCAGCGACAGCAGTATAGCTGTACACTTAGACTTAAACGAGATCTATACTGAATGAATGATTTAATTACTATGATTATAAATTCGGGGTTTACAATTTCAATTTTGGTAAACTTTCTTATGAGTTAAAGCTGCGATTCCTCTCAAAGTTAACAAATCCACAGGTCATCAAGATGGTACAGTAAACATTTGGAGCACAGCAACCCACCAAAATTTCCACCGACTGAAGGCACATCAGGTATATTTGGAGACTTATTTTCAAATTTAGATGTACTATCGTTAAAACTTTAAAAGGTTAAAGATCCTTCAATGATATCGTGCTCGGAAGATCCAAACATAAACAAAACATTTATGTTTCTACGATTTATTTTTAGGCTAAGTTGACAGGGCTGGAGGTTCACACTGGGATAGGACTGCTGATTACGATCAGTCTTGACAAGACCATTAAAGTTATCCGACTAAGTTCTATGGAAGAGGTATACTGATAAATAATTTAGAACAAATTTGATGTTGAATGGCGAGCATTTCTACCGTCTAGCTTATTATTAACTCTGGTTTAGCGGAATATTTCCTGAAACTTTTAGGTTTTATGGAATAGCTTCTTGGTCTCAAATTGAAGGGAATAAGATAATATTAAAAGATGACGGATATAATTCTGACGATATAACTGTTTAGGTGTACAACATCATGACAGGGGACAGAATGACAAACCTCCGTGTTTTGGACAGGAACAGCCTGGCTTACTGCACCAAATACAGCGTCAAAGTTTGGAACCTCTACCAAGTGGACAGTCTCGTTAACAGACTATTTTCTGAGGTACAGACTATTTTCTGAGGTACAGAATATTTTCTGAGGTACACACTATTGTCTGAGGTACAGACTATTTTCTGAGGTACAGACTATTTTCTGAGGTACAGACTATTTTCTGAGGTACAGAATAATTTCTGAGGTACAGAATATTTTCTGAGGTACAGAATATTTTCTGAGGTACAGTCTATATTCTGAGGTACAGACTATTTTCTGACGTATACAGACTATTTTTCTTAGAGTCTGAGGTACAGACTATTTTGTGAGGTACAGAATATTTTGTGAGGTACAGACTATTTTCTGAGATACAGACTATTTTCTGAGGTACAGACTATTTTCTGATATACAGAATATTTTTTTGAGGTACAGAATATTTTCTGAGGTACAGAATATTTTCTGAGGTACAGACTGTTTTATTTTATGAGGTACAGAATATTTTCTGAGGTACAGACTATTTTCTGAGGTACAGACTATTTTCTGAGGTACAGACTATTTTCTGATATACAGAATATTTTCTGAGGTACAGAATATTTTCTGAGGTACAGAATATTTTCTGTGGTACAGACTATTTTATTTTATTAGGTACAGAATATAATCTGAGGAACAGAATATTTTCTGAGGTGCAGAATATTTTCTGAGGTACAGAAAATTTTCTGAGGTACAGAATATTTTCTGGGGTACCTTCCTGTCACTAGACACTATTTGTGATATCAGTTCGACTAAACCGATAATTGATATTAGACCCTGTTCCTGCCATGGACCCTATCCTAATTTCTTGTTTATAATGGTTATCTAGCAGTTTTACCCACTTCATTATAATTTTAGAATTTTAGACAGATCCAACGGGTGACCGACAACTAACCCAATTGAACCTAGTTCCCACTAACCAATCAGCTTAATTGGTTAGGGTTAGGGTTAGAGTTAAGGTTAGTCTAAGTTGTCTAAATTGGGTTCAGTTGTCTGGTAGCCGATCCAACACCAGTCGTAAAAATAAACGTATTATGTACAACGTACGTTTAAAAAAGATTATAACATGACGTAATGTTATGATAAAAAAAAGCTTTACTTTACTTTACCTTTTTATTGTAAACACCAACTTCTGACTAATAACCCACACCTTCGGTTAGGTGTACCGTATGAAGAGAACGGGTGAAGGACAAATGTTAGTGGAGACGGAAGATGGAGGGTTGCGTCTACTTAATGTTAAGGGTGGAGATATTGTCACAACTATATTCTCTAGGTGCGTCTACTTAATGTTAAGGGTGGAGATATTGTCACAACTATATTCTCTAGGTGCGTCTACTTAATGTTAAGGGTGGAGATATTATCACTTCGAGATGGCCAGGCCTACTCTCATGCTGTCTATATGTGATGATTAACTCTGAAAAACTATAAAACTTAAAAAAATAAATGCGAATATATATTCTAAATAACTGATAGGTGGAGATATTGTCACAACTATATTCTCTAGGTGCGTCTACTTAATGTTAAGGGTGGAGATATTGTCACAACTATATTCTCTAGGTGCGTCTACTTAATGTTAAGGGTGGAGATATTGTCACAACTATATTCTCTAGGTGCGTCTACTTAATGTTAAGGGTGGAGATATTGTCACAACTATATTCTCTAGGTGCGTCTACTTAATGTTAAGGGTGGAGATATTGTCACAACTATATTCTCTAGGTGCGTCTATTTAATGTTAAGGGTGGAGATATTGTCACAACTATATTCTCTAGGTGCGTCTACTTAATGTTAAGGGTGGAGATATTGTCACAACTATATTCTCTAGGTGCGTCTACTTAATGTTAAGGGTGGAGATATTGTCACAACTATATTCTCTAGGTGCGTCTACTTAATGTTAAGGGTGGAGATATTGTCACAACTGTATTCTCTAGTTACGATTACTCAGTAAATTAAATAAATGTAAATTAAACCTTATTATATATAAAGCGAGACTGACACAATGACAATAACTTTAACACGATTTTTCCGCGAAAACCGTGAGAGATATCTGATATAATACTGTTGAAACTTTTTCGGCTGGGTCGAATGCTTTTATGACCACGGTCTTTTGACCAGTATGAAGAAATGAAAAATGTACCAAGAAAAATATGTCAAAATCACTAAATAAATAAGTATCGTTGTTTCTTGACACCGCTTTAGATTTAAATGGGTTCCTGCTAAAACTTTACTTTTATATAAAGCTCAAGTCAACGAAAACTATTTCTGGCCTGACGCCATGGCAAATTTCGCTTTTTGCTGTATCATGATACAGACTTCTGGATAGGTGAAACATAACCGCAATTAAAATATTAATTGTGAAGAAAATTAAGCATCAACTTTTTATTATTTAGAGATCCTTATATTTAGATCCTTATTATTTAGAGATCCTTATATTTTGAGTTCTTTACACAATGACAAAGACGTTCGGTAAAATGGGTAAATTATCTTCTGGAGCAATGGCGAAACGAATGCTCCGATACCCCCGCTATGTCGACAAAGATTTCTTGCAAATGGATTAAGAATTATATAATTACTTCAGTTACGGACAAGAAATGGATTCGGTAATTAAAGAAAATGAGTTGTTTCGATTCTATCCTCACTATAAAATATTCTATAATCAGGACAAATAGTCACGGTTGAGTAAAAATAGCAGCTGCCAGTGCCCTAATCATAAAATATATTGAAATCAGAAGATTTAGTCATGTTCTGTAAATGATAACAGCTGCCTTCATCATAGTACATGACGTACTAAAATCAAAAGAAAAAGCCCTCTCATGAACATATTGTTTTGATTCTGTCCTCACTATAAAATATTCTATAATCAGGACAAATAGCCACTGTTGATTACAAAATAGCAGCTGCCAGTGCCCTAATCATAAAATATATTAAAATCAGAAGATTTAGTCATGTTCTGTAAATGACAACGCTGCCTTCATCATAAAATGTACTAAAATCAAAATAAAAAGCCCTCTCATGAGCATGTTTGTTGTTTTGATTCTGTCCTCACTATAAATATTCTATAATCAGGAAAAATAGCCACTGTTGATTACAAAATAGCAGCTGCCGGTGCCCTAATCATAAAATATATTGAAATCAGAAGAAATAGTCATGTTCAGTAAATGATAACAGCTGTCTTCATCATAAAATGTACTAAAATCAAAATAAATAGCCCTCTCAGTTTGATGAATATTCCATTGCAAATAGTAGTTAAATAACCACAAATAATTGTGTGTTGCAATAAATTGTGAGGTCAGACGAGAACCACATTTACCTGATAAAATTGTAAGCAGTCATCACTTGCTTCAGATCATTAGATTATTTGTAGTAATTTAGGTTACGAACAACGAAAACGAAAGCAATAACGATGGTTACAAGATATTAAACTATAAAACAGCACAATGACTAATTCGAAAAATTCATACTTTAAATCCTAATTAAACAGACTTATATCGCCCAAGATTTATTATACTATATAGTATATAATAATATAATGACTAATACACCAAACTCTTACTTCAAATCCTAATCAATCAGACTTATATCGCCTAAAAACGCCCCTAACTTATCCTTAACATAATCTACATGACCTGAATCAACCATTGTTGATGTCCCTGTAACCACAAGCCCCATCCTAGGTATCTAGGATCTAACCGAATCAACCATCGTTGACTCTCCCTGTATCCTAATCTAATCTAGATGACCCAAATCAACCATCGCTGATTCTCCCTATAACGACATGCCCCAATCCGTGCTCACCATACCATCCGTGCTCACCATTACCAGGATCCAACCGTAACTGGTCCTGGTCAATTCTGGTCAGTCATCAATGACCCTCTATCGAATAGGGCAAACTCAATCTGACCTTTTTGACCTTTCCACCGGACCTTATATAATGTTCAGTTCATGGTTCTACCTACCGCCCCTCCCTTCGAGAAGGTTCCTGATACCCAGGTGTTACTTAGGTGTTACCCAGGTGTTACTTAGGTGTTACCCAGGTGTTACTCTATTAATCCAGTTTTTGAGCCTTATCAAAACTCTACCAACTTTATGCGTGGTCAACCCTGCTCGCATATTAATATGCCCTTATTAACATACCACGCAGCTTGCTACAAACCAAGTCTAGACCTCCCGAGAAACGCCCCCTTGCTCCGATCCTAACTGGAGGATTGGTTACACATCGGAGGATGAGTCACACCTATGCTGGCTTCCAGAAGAATTATTCTATCAATTGCTAAGATAACAAATCTATAACATAGAATTTAACTTATCTTCATCAATAATAGTAATACTACAAATAATCACGGCTTACAAAATTGTGATATATGCCTATAATTATATGATTACAACTGTGTTTTTTTCTCTTTTAGCAAAAGGGCTCTACTAGCTGTTGCTAGGAGCATTACTATATTATATACTATATTACTATATATATAATTATAGGGTAAAACTGCTTCCCCAGCTGAGAAGTTATGAGCAAAAACTGTTTTGTATTTTGGTCATGTGAATTGTGAAATGCCAACTTCTGATAACTGTAAAAACCAGTAAAAAGTGTGCGATTTCTTTAAAGAATTTATGTGTACGATACGAAGTCGTCTAATCTTGGTTAAGATAAGTCTAGCATGAGTAGGATTTTTAGAGAAATAATTTGCCAGTGGTCTTTTATAACTTCTAACAGACTTACATTCCCTCATTTTATTCAAGTACTTTTCTGGGATGTTTAGATTAAACACTGCTGAGTATAAGTTTTATCTTAAAAGTGTTGTTATTAAATTTATTATTATTATTATTTGTTAGCTTAAGTTGACTAAATAATTATTTATTCATTTATCCGCAGTACCAACACGGCTAATTTCAATCTGAAGTACTCAGCTTACAGTAGCAGTCGCAACATGACCTTCATTTTAGGTAATTTGGGGTCTTTTGCTTTCCTTTTAGCTATTTATAATATTATATAAAAGCCAACCTAAATAAGGTTTAATTACCCGTTAATTAATTAATCAATTAATTAATTACACATTTTGGATTTAATGTTCAAATTGTTTGTTCTGAGGTGGACCATCATATTAATTCCTTGTAACGCGCCTATTCAAAGTTTCCCCAAATTTTAAACCTTTTTGAACCCTTTTTGAACCCCAAACGTCTTTAAGTATATTGATCTTCAGATTTAACACCCACAAAAATATTTAGATCCAGAGGCAGGCCATGTGGAGGGATATAATTGTGAAACTCATCCTGCTGAATTGAAAACGTTGTTCAAAACAGAAGGACAAAAAGTCAACGCAATATGCGAGGTCAGAGTAATAAAATATTTAATATTTATAAAATGTTTATAAAATTTGATTTTTAAAACTTTTGATGATATTCCTGATACTTCTGCTCTGATATAAACTCCAAAATTTTGATATTTCCATACTAAGTCTCGCTTGAATGACTTAAACGTATCTTTATTCGGGTATATTTTCAATGTCGAAACGTGTTATTCATTATTCATTATTAATATTAAATTCAGAAATTTTCACGCTGGTAGTTTTACAGGCATACCTTGGCATACCCTACTGGCTCTCCACCGCTAGTTACTAGCTGGTTACTAGGTTACTAGCTTGTCACTAGGTTACTAGCTGGTTACTAGGTTACTAGCTGGTCACTAAGTTACTAGCTGGTCACTAGGTTACTGAATTCAGACATTTCACGCTGGTAGTTTTACAGGCATACCTTGGCATACCTTACTGGCTGCCCACCGCTAGTAACTAGCTGGTTACTAGGTTACTAGCTGGTCTCTAGGTTACTAGCTGGTCACTAGGTTACTGAATTCAGACATTTCACGCTGGTAGTTTTACAGGCATACCTTGGCATACCCTACTGGCTGCCCACCGCTAAGCGCTCTAAAACCCGTACGGAGACAATGTTAAGTCTGGTGCTGGTTGGAACAGCAGAGGGTCAGCTGATTGTAACGGACGGGCCTGATTGGTTACATTTACCACAGCCTGTTAATATAGAGCGAGGCATGGTGAAGGATATGGTTAGTTTGAATTATTCCGTTTTTATAGAAAATTGTGTTATTCGGAATGATATACAATTTAAGATGAGGCAAGAGACAGAATTCATACTAACAAACCAGTCAGTGATTACATGCTTACTGCACTTCCTACACAGCAAGTTAGATTAATTAATTAATTATCAATTAATTCTTATTTAATTAACCAATTGTTTACCAGGAGGCCTCTAGCGCGGGGGAAGGAAGTAAAAAGTGTACAGTAGCTATCCTGACTGGAGATAACCCTAGTTATATATCCGTTTATATACTCTCTATATCTACAGGTTTATCTTTTTTTTAAAACTTCAGTCACTGGCGACTTAATCTAGCTAGTAACCACTGGATAACTGATTCCAGATAATCAACCTGTCTGTCTTAACTAAAGATGAATATGGAGGTGTCCTCCAGGAATATTTGGTGTTTGATTTCATTTTAAATCTCTCCTCGATAAACATGTCTCTATAACTAAGCTTTATTCAGATTAATTTCAGACAACAATCTGTCAGTCAACCTGCGGCACGTGTTGACCCTTACAAGCCCCATCTCCCTGTTCCTCATTACGGATGTGTATCTCATGATATCCTTCAGTAAGCAGGTCTCCCTCGTCAAGTTCCCCAGGTAACCATGGTACCATGTTTCTGAAATTGTACTGTTGGCAAGGTGGCTATGAAAGTTGCATCGCTTAACTACTGGCAGGACAGCCGCATGTAAGACCTTATTATTCATTAATTTAGACATTTGGAAACAAAACAAATAAAATCTTCTCCCTTGTTCAGTATTTTGGAGAAAGACAGTCTACACAGCACATTAATGGAACCCACAACCTCAATATGCGAACCTTATGTTGAGGTTAGTGAGATGGGGAGGATCATCTGCTGGGGGGGGAGGATCATCTGGTGGGGAGGATCATCTGGTGGTGGGGGGGGGGGGGGGGGAGGGGGAGGGGAGGAGGGGGAGGGGATGGGTGATCATCTGGTGTTGGGGTGGGGGGATTGGTGACCATCTGGTGCTTGAGAATTTGTCATTTCTTAGTTGTTAGCGGCCAGCGGGCCTCCGATTTTTATTTCCTTCAATGTTCATACTAAGAACTACTATTTAAAAAATCTTCACTCTAAAAAACAACCATCATCTTCCATCAGATTTACAAGCAGTCCCCGTCAGACTCACACACTAAAAGTGTAACAGATATGGACGCTTTGTCAACACTGGAGGTATTTGTCACTGTTGCCGCGGAGGACTACTTCATGAAACTGTGGGACAACAAGAACGTCCTTCTAAGTAAGTCATTTATAAATCGTATGTTATTTTTGGGCAGGCTGTATGATATGTTTTGGAGATCAAATTGCAAACCACAATTTGAAAAATTCCATCCCAATTTTAGTAAAACAGCTAAACTTCCGTTTCCTCAGGAGAAATTCTGTTCAGCACCCCCGTGTACGGCGTATGTTTTGCCACCGACTTCGGAGCCATCTTCTGTTCCAACAACACAAACCTCACTGTGATCCCCGTATCAAAATACCTTCCTCCGCAGTACATCCAGCGACTCCTGAACCTTGAAGGGGAGTTTGACGGAACCGTGGAGAGCCTGAAAGCAGTTCCGTCATCCTGCACGTGCGACGAGCCGGAGGAGGTTCCAGTGTCTCTAAACACTAGACGTAAGAGAAGATGAGCCGGTTGGAGAGAGGAGATGGGAGATATTCTAGGAGAAAGAGGGATCCTCCAAGGGATGATGATAGTTCTAGGGGAGGGAGGAGGAGAGGAGAGGACGGGAGGCGTGGTGCTGGAGGAGGTGGAGGAGGTGGTGCCAGCAGTGGTGGTAGTTCCCGGAGTAACAAGTCTAGTGAGAAGTCAACTCAAGACCAAAACAGGGAGAATACCCCTACAGAAAATACAGATAAGTTGCAGAAAGCTGCACTTGATGCCGTTGAGGAGGTTGCACTTACTGAGGAAACTGCGCTGGAAGTTGCTAAGTGTGATAGGAAGTGGTCGGAGTTTTCAATCATAGACAATTCCTTTCCATGTGCCCCTGATGGCTTCATCCCTAACTCAGTAGCACGCATCATGTTCACCCACCTTTTAGAATTTCAGCTTCTATTCAATAAGCACAGTATCCTTCGTCCTCAACCTCCAGTTACAGAAGCCACAGACTCGTTTGCTATCCTTTCAATTCCCTCAAAGTTTAGCATCCACCCGATTGTGGAAGAGGAAAAAGAATCTATTATGGATATCATCGTTACACAAGATTCGAAGACTGGCCTCGTTTCCCCATCACCCCGAATGGGGGACGGTTTCTCAGCATTGTTCATGTCAACGACCGGAAGCACGCCCTCAGAGACCACTATGGCATCTACTTCACCCATCCCTTCCTCTCATCTTATTGATGTTATCAACAACTCCAAACAATCAGTCAAAGAGAAACGCTCAACTTTTGCGGGGATGGCGTTAAGTGAAGCACCGTCGTACTCTTATTCGGAAAGAGTCCCACGATCGAATGCTGCTCCTAGTCAAAAATCCATTTCATTTGAACAGATAAGTGCACTTACTGTGGCATCGTCTCTAACAGAGCTGTCTGATGCTAACACCGAGGAGGCGGTTGAGTCTATAAGCGAAGCCAAGTTATCTGTACCAGCTAAGAAAAGAAAAATGTCGATCGCTAACAGGAAAATGTCCAAGGTTAGAAAATCAATGATCAGTAAACCCAAAAAGCGAAGAGAGTCCAGATTTGAAGGAGACGGTTTAAAGAAAAAAGGCATGATTGCTGAAAGGAAGTCGAGAACTGATGCGATGAAAGCCATTTCATCAGTTGCGAATTCCAAATCGGGCGTATTGTCTTCAGAGTCAGAGAATATAATACTGAAACCCACTGTAACCATCACTTCATTGCCCGAGACGGAGAGCAAGGAACAAGTTGCACTTCCATTTAAAGAACGCTTGAAAGAAATAAAAACTAAGTCGGACCCAAAAGAACGGCTTGTTTCACTTTCGCGATGGGTTGATCGAATAAAAACTGAATCTGAACATTTCCTTTTTATCAAAAACCTTGACGAGTTCCTAAACGTGGAAAATAAGCCTCAACTTAGTATTGAGGAAGTTAAAACCACAGAGGAAGTAGCGTTGAAACTGTATGAATCAGGTAAAATCGATGCCACCCACTACACAGAGTTACTCAAAAGTCTCATGGAATGCAAAATCAGTGACTTTCAAAAGTTCAACATTCTGTCTTCCATAATTAAGGTCCATAGGAAAAACAAAGAATCTCATGTAAAGAATAGTCCGGAGACAAAAGAAGTACTCATGGACATCCTGCCATTCTTGGTTCACGAGGACGACGAGATCAAGGACAAGGCATTCAAGGAACTGTCCGAATATGCAGACATAAACACCAAAGAGGAGCTTAGAGAACTGTTGATCGGGTTACAAATAATGGATAGCTCGTCGGGCCCAGACGATATCGAAATAGTATCAGGTGGAAAGATACTTAACATTCAATACTGGAGGAACAAAGTTGAAAATCCAGAACCGAGCTTATCCAGCAAGGTATCTGAGGAGATACAGATAGTATCAGAATTCGAGATACAAGTGAATCCTTCAAATGTTAGTAAACAGCAGCCTACCAAGATTAGCAAGCACAACCTACAAAATCAACGAAAATCCTCCAAATCAAGCTCATCTCAAAAAAAGACATCTCGAGATCTCCTCCGACAGAACACACCGAAAACAACTCAAACTCCCCCGGGCTCCTTGGCTGATATCGCGGAGGACTACAAGAGCAAATCAGGGAGCTTATCTACATTCGGTCAGGACTCCACATTTGATCTGGATATGAACATGTCTGGTGGTTACCCTGAATCCGAGGAAGATGCTCTGGTCAGCATTCCCTCTATAGACATAAAAAGGAGAATCATGAACTGCACAGGTGAAGAAGTGAAGGAGAGGGGTCAGATGATAGGTGAACTCAGGGACAGGGGTAAGCTTTACAACTCCACTAACGACCTCATGTTGTGGTTCCAGAAGGATGATGACCAGTTTTATGATCCTAACCGCAGAATGGTGGGGTCCCTCCTTCCTAACGGAGATGTGTCCATCCCAGATAACATGAACCTTGTTATAGACCGTTATGTGGTGAAGCAAGGGATGGATCTGGTTAGAAATGTTGCTAACTGTGACAACCAGGGCAGGATAAAGAACCAGAAAGGGGAGAATCTGGGCACATTGACCAAGGAAGGGGAGTTTATCAGCAAAGATGGGATTTTGTTTACTTGCGAAGGGTTGTATGCTGGGAAAATGTGTCCGGATGGGAACAGAATGTACGTAAACGGAGAGATATTTAATAAGCAGAATGTGTATTGGGGCCATGTCGGTCCTGATAATACCATGATACACCTTTCTGGAAGAATATTCGACTCTTCAGGTAGAAACAAATCAAAATACATTTATTTGGTTAATATCGTTTTACTAATGTGTTAATCATCTCTACCATCAGAATCAATATCCTATATAATATATCAATATTATTTAAGTAAATTTCTGAGATGTTTAGAAACACTGCTAAGTGCAAGTTTTATCTTAATAGTAGTGTTACACAACTTCAATTTATTATTATATCATATGTTTCACGTGTTGTCTCCAACCCTTCCCTCATCATCCCCCTACAGGTATAAACATTGGTAATATCATGGAGTACGGCGAGAGGCTTAGTACGTGCGTACAAAAGTTCGACGCCTACGAAACAAAGGCTGACAGTGGTGTATCAATAGACGATGTGTACGTGAACAGAGAAGTAAGAGACGAGAAAGGAGAAGTATTAGGGAAGTTTAAAAACAAAGATACAATAATCACAACATGTGGTGATATATTCGATAGGAGCGGGTCCTATTTGGGTCAGCTCTTGGCTAACGGCCACATCATGATGAAGGAGGAAGCAACCAAGCTGCCACTTGATGGTATCAGGTCGAGCCTAGCGACCCAGTGCAGGTCCAGGGGTATGATCGCTAAACCCTGCTCCAGGAAGAGCAGAGTAGACCGGCTGAGGGCCGCTGTTACTGATTATCAGGTGACCGAGGCTAACGAGAAGAGAGCTAGGGAGATCGGGGAGGAGTGGGGGAAGCACAGGAGTCTACCCAGCGAGGAGAGCTTGAGATCAGATCTGGGTTACCAGAGCGAGGATAAGTTAGTGTTTGATATCACTCAATCTGTTCCACTGCTCCCCACGATCAACCAGATCAAGGGACAGCGTCTCGTTAAAACCATCACCTTCTCCCGCTCTGTTTCCTCATTTCAAAATAAAAATATCCTCATTGAACCAATGCCATCTACCCTCAACGCTCACACAACAAACTGCGATGGCAACACTCAGTTCGGCATGCTCAAAGTCGACTGGACAACCAGGTCTATTGACGCTCCAACCGTAGAACAGACCAAACTACCCAAACTTCAACGACCCCCTCCACCTTCCGCTGCGGTTAAAACCAAACCGATTGCTCTAGCCTCTAGCACAGTGCCACACTTACCCAAAATAAGACGACACCCTGTAGTACCCCACACCAGGGTAGGATCAGGTGATTACCTGCTGAAGACACTTTCGTCTTATCTGAAGAAGGAACTGAAGGAGGAGATGAGCCTGATTAGGGGTCCTGTTGTTAAATCTACTCTTAATTCGGGTGGGAGTCATATCGTGTGCAATAACACGCCCATACCTAGACGAGTCTGAATGTAAAGAGTGGGGGACAGCAGTGTTTTCGTTTGTTGATTGTTTTTGTTTTTATGGAGTTATTTGTCTTCTGAAATCGTTTAAATTGTATTTAATTGTTGCCGAAATTTTCAATTTACAAATATAACAAGTAACGAAGAAACCTTAAAAAGTACTGATTAGAAATTTGAAAACAATCTGCACATGAATTTGCAATATTATATGAAAAAAGTCGGGTCTAAAAATATTCATCCAAAACATCAACATAAAACAAAATTACAGTTTTTTGGCAACATAAGTGATCTCACAGTTCTGTGACTCCCCGAAGTTATACCTAATATGAAAATAATGTGACAATAATGTGACAATAAAGTTAGCCAGTATTAATCTGGGTTGGTAACTATCATAACACCAGACACTCTACTTAATACTTTAAACACTACTAAATAATCACTGATTTGCAGTCACTAATAGTAATCATTACTAAATAATCACTGATTTGCAGTCATTAATAGTAACCACTACTAAATAATCACTGATTTGCAGTCACTAATAGTAATCACTACTAAATAATCACTGATTTGCAGTCACTAATAGTAATCACTACTAAATAATCACTGATTTGCAGTCACTAATAGTAATCACTACTAAATAATCACTGATTTGCAGTCAGTAATAGTAACCACTACTAAATAATCACTCATTTGCAGTCACTAACCACTCAATAGTCACTGATTTGCAGTTACTAACCAGAGTAACCACTCAATAGTCACTGCTCATGGAGTTACTAACCACTCAATAGTCACTGCTCATGGAGTTACTCGGAGAGACCCACACTGTAACAGGTTGATAAGAGTTATTAGGTGGCCTCTCTCTCACTAACCGTCCCCTATCTCCCAACACTGACGGACATTTGCACCGGCACGTTTCACCCAGGGACAACTTGTACAGAACACAGTTCACGAAGCCTTGAAGGGGGTCGAAAAAGTTTTCGATGAAGATGAACAGTTTGCTGGTACAGATTTTTGAATTGGGGTGACCACAGTAGCAGGTCAGTCTCATGACAGTACCCCACATCCGTACCATTATCAGTGCCAGGGGGATTGCTAGGATCTTGTTCACTTGTAAACTAGCTCCTGTTAGAATGGTTTTTTGAGTTATTTATTATTTTTGAGTTATTTATTATGTGACATGAGCTGTTAATCATTAAGTCATTAATCTTGCCTGTTTAAAAGTCATTGAAGTATTGAAGCTGAAAATTAAAAAGTTGACTTCTGATAAATCTAAATTCCGAAACGAATATCGTCAAATAACTCTGGCAGTTAAAACAGCTAAAATAGCAAACTTCCCGTCGGACCTCTATGCAAACAACGAATGTTCAGTATATTCGAATGTATTGTAACTCTTATTCAAGTACATTTCTGGGATGTTTATCATAATTATCACTTTATCATGGAAAGTGAACCCACCAGCAAACGCGTGTCGACCTGTCAAGTCCACGTTTCCACTTTCATCCTCTACACTGTCCATCTGATCGTAACCCGATCTCCTGTTCAGATAGTGTCTCGCTAGCATGCAATACACGGTTACTCCTGCAGACACATTTGTAATGTTTTCATTTTTCTAACTGAGCATTTTCACTGGTTTTCTCAGAACACAAAATTAATGTTTTAAAATAGATTTTTGGCGAGATTTAGATTAACTAAACCTAAAGTTCTTTCAAGAAAATTTCTGATTTTGGCGATGAAAATTGTCGTCACTATTTCGTCACTATGTCGTCACTATGTCGTCACTATGTCGTCACTATGTCGTCACTATGTCGTCACTATGTCGTCACTATGTCGTCACTATGTCGTCACTGAGGCTATTCAGAAAAATGAAAACTTAAGTTCTCACCAATGTAACAAAAGATTTCAAAAGCTTTTCCATCCCAGAATGATGCTGCACATGGTCTTTCCAGGAAGTTGGGCGAGTGGATTGTCTTGTTGTTTACCTAATTAATTTAATTAATTTTTCTTGTTGTTTACCTAATTAATTTAATTAATTTGTCTTGTTGTTTACCTAATTAGTGTATAAAAAACAGTATTACAGTATCACATATAAAATATAATAGCATGCGGAGAAAAAAAAGTAGGACCGTAAAAAAACTAATTTAATTTCGATTCGAAAGAGAAATTAAAATAGTTGACCTTTATCCAGCACCATGTCGTAAGATGGTGGCGAGTTGGTTACCAGGTTACTAGCTGGTTACTAGGTTACTAGCTGGTTACTAGGTTACTAGCTGGTTACCAGGTTACTAACCTTTATCCAGCACCATGTCGTAAGATGGTGGCCCGTTCCATCTTTACTTGTGATATTATTTAAATCGTCTGAAACGTTTTCAAAAATTAACATGTTACAATTGGATGATATCAAAATAATTGATTGGAAATAAATAGGCAAACAGTTGGACTGAATTTATTCTAATGATAACAGGTGGAGCTAACGGGAGTTTCAGTAGATCGATACCTCAGCAGAATTTATCTTTAATCCTAAAATAGTTTGGAAATGTAGACGGGCTGATTGGGTCGGTATCTAAGCAGGGTAGTCAACTTTTTAAAGTTACAGTAAGGGTTAATTGAAACTTTAGAGACCCTAACCATAAATTTACCCAAGACCTAAGCTTTACTTTTACTAATAATTCTCCTAATTTTATTACATTCTATGTTACTAAATTTAACAAGATTTTGATATCATATTATTATGTAATTATATTTTAATTTGTAAATCAGTTATTAGAACTGCCAGCACCGTCCGGATCCAAACAAACAAACTGGTCGCTAGCTGGTTACCAGGTTATTATATGGTTACTAGCTGGTTACCAGGTTACTAGCTGGTTACCAGGTTACTAGCTGGTTACCAGGTATCTCATTGGCTCCGGTTGCAGCGAAAGTTTTCAACAAACTCATCCTCAACCGGATTTACCCATACCTGATCCCCTACTGCGGCCAAACCAAAATGGCTTCCGCAGAGGAAGATCTACCCTCCCTCAGATACTTGCCCTACGACGCATCCTAGAAGAGTGTAAAATCGGAAATCGATCAGCAGCTATCGTGTTTGTCGACTTTTCGAAAGCATTCGACAGTATCAACAGGGATGCCTTGTTTCACATCCTCTCCCTCTACGGCGTCCCTGCTCCCATAACTGATGCTATCAGGCTCCTGTATGACTCATCGCACTCCAGAGTCAAAACCATTGACGGCCTTACAGACTTCTTTAGAACACTCATCGGGGTCCTTCAGGGTGATACTCTCGCTCCTTTCCTCTTCATCATCGTCCTCGATTATGTCCTTAGGAACTGCATGACTCTTGACCATGGCCTAACCATCATCCCCAGGCAAAGTCGGAGAGTACCTGCGGTCAGAGTCACAGATTTTGACTTCGCTGACGACCTGGCCTTGACTGCCGATACCATAGAGCAAGTCCAGCAACTGCTCTCGGATTTAGAGACTGCAGCAGCACATGTCGGACTTGCGATGAATGCTTCCAAGACCGAATACATGACCATCAACATTCCTGATGCTGCCCCCGTGAACTCAATATCCGGTTACCAGATCAAGCAGGTTGATGACTTCAAATACTTGGGCTCATATATTGCAGAGAGCAGGAAGGACTTCAACACCAGGAAAGGCATGGCTTGGTCAGCCTGTATCAAACTGCAGAAGGTATGGACCTCTGGCATTTCTGACCAGCTGAAAGTCAAGTTCTTCAGAGCATGCATCGAACCTGTTCTGCTGTATGGCTCAGAAACCTGGACCTTGAACAAGCAGTTTGAGAAGCGTCTCGACGGGTGCTACACCAGGCTCCTAATGAAAGCCAGGAATCTTTCATGGAAGAAGCATCCAACCCTAAAGCAAATCTATGGTGACCTCCCTTCCATCTCCACCATCATTGCACAGAGACGTGCCAGATTTGCTGGGCAGTGGGTATTGCATGAGAGCTTCAGACCAGGTCATCTCTACCATCCTTCCTTGGCGGCTGCCACAGTTCAGGCGTGGGAGGATACCACTCTCTTTTCTTGACACCGTAGCCAGGGACACAGGGTTGCGGGTAGAAGATCTCCGAACAGTTATGTGCGACAGAACCATCTGGAGACGTAGAGTGGAGGAGATTTCGATCGAGCATCGCCCAAAGTAAAAGTAAGTACCAGGTTACTAGCTGGTTACCAGGTTACTAGCTGGTTGCTAACTGGTTACCAGGTTACTATCTGGTTACTAGGTTACTAGCTGTTTATTAGCTGGTTACCAGGTTACTAACTGGCTACTAGATGGTTACTAGGTTACTAGCTGGTTACTGACTGATTACCAGGTTACTATCTGGTTACTAGGTTACTAGCTGTTTATTAGCTGGTTACCAGGTTACTAACTGGCTACTAGATGGTTACTAGGTTACTAGCTGGTTACTGACTGGTTACCAGGTTACTAGCTGGTTACTAGGTTACTAGCTGGTTACTAGCTGGTAACTAGGTTACTAGCTGGTTACTAGGTTACTAGCTGGTTACTAGGTTACTAGCTGGTTACTAGCTGATTACCAGGTTACTAGCTGGTTACTAGCTGGTTACTAGGTTACTAGCTGGTGACTAGGTTACCAGGTTACTAGCTGGTTACTAGCTGGTTACCAGGTTACTAGCTGGTTACTAGCTGGTTACCAGGTTACTATCAGGTTACTAGCTGGTTACCAGGTTACTAGCTGGTTACTAGGTTACTAGCTGGTTAATAGCTGGTTACCAGGTTACTAGCTGGTTACTAGCTGGTTACCAGGTTACTAGCTGGTTACCAGGTTACTATCTAGTTAGGTACACTCACCAGCTCCCAACATGTCGTAGTGTAAAGCCAGTCCGTTTATAGCAAACGGAATTACTGATAAAACGTACAGACACAGGTAAGCTTTGTATGCTACTTTTATCCCTGAAATTAGTTTAAGATCAGTTGTACTAATTTGAGAATTTGTGTGTTTCATAATGCATTTACTTTTTACTTTGTTCGAACGTGAGAACAGTTCTAAAATGATAATTATTACTTTTTAGTACGGCGATGTTTCATTCGACCAGCACCTCTAAACAGAAATAGTATCTATCTTAATAGAATAGTTATGGATAGTGAAAAAGGATGCAAGCACTGTTCATTATCCACTTTTTACACATTTTTGAACATTAAACATTTTTTATTTGGACATTTGATGGCAGTCACTCACATTTTATTTCATAAGCCATTATCGAGAATCCTACAACAAAATCAATGTTGAAATCAAAAAGCGAACTGTATAACATGCCCACAAATTAAACCAAAGCAGGGACAAAAGAAAATCGCGATTATTTTGCCCAAAAATCGCGATACCGCGATTTTTAACAGACTATACATAAATCTATACATAAAATTTGTCGCAAATAATGTGAAAAATCGCGATTCTGCACATGCCGCGATTTCCTTTTGTCCCTGAACCAAAGTAAAATCAAAGTACACATTACCGAATACACAATACCAAATCTAACAAGAAGAAACATGTGCTGGCTCAAGCCAAATGTCCACAGAAAGGATAACATGGCTCCGGTTGTAATGAGGAAGGATTGTATTTTACAGGCTTTTGGTGTGTCGAACCATGCCATTGACTTTTTAGACTCTGCATCTCTGAAGATATGAAACTAGCAAGATTATTTTATGGATTGTTTTACGGTATCATTGTAAAAGTTATCGTCGGAGAAGTTATATCGGTCGAAAAAATAACTGAATAATTGATGCGGATGGGATGGTTACATTCAAACTTCACAATCAAGATCTACACGCCTCTTTTTTATTTTCCTCCCCCTAAAATTAGATATAAATGAATTCATTTTTTAAACGATTAATCGAAAAAAAATTATCAATTTTTGAAATAATTAATTAAAAAATTATCAGGTAAAATAATAATTAATTAAAAGATTGTGTACCTGATATGATACTCTAGATGTAAGGAAGTGACCACCAGGGTGGGGAAGGCTTGTAACACATCTGGCAATTAAACTTGTATTAACATTAGTTAGATTTAATATTTAAGTTAAATATTTAATTATTGATTGAAAGGAAAAAACTTATGGAAAATTATACATATTAAAATGGTGCAGGATAATGATCTAAATTCTAAAATAATATTATGATTACAAAGTAAGCGGGCTCCCCAACCTAAATATTATATTAAATTAATTACACCACTAAAATCTATTACATTTATCAAATATATTGTAATATGGGATGGAAACTTTTTAACCGTAGCCAGCCCACACCCTAGCTCCATAAAATGAAGGTCTTGTTTTAATTCTTAATGGAAAGCTAAAATATATTAATACCAAATTAATGAGAAGCAAGTCAGACCTGCGATTGCAAAGCTGGATAATTAATTAGTTAATAATGAATACCAAATTAATGAGAAGCTAGTCAGACCTGCGATTACAAATCTGGATAATTAATTAGTTAATAATGAATACCAAATTAATGAGAAGCAAGTCAGACCTGCGATTGCAAAGCTGGATAATTAATTAGTTAATAATGAATACCAAATTAATGAGAAGCAAGTCAGACCTGCGATTGATATCATGATGATTATCCGTTTAGACATGGCTTTAACAGGGCTTATCAGGGACGTGTACATCACGATTACAGCTCCTATCGTCCCCAGGAGACTCCCAATCACCGCAGCTACCGTCTGTGAACTGCACGTGGTATTGGTTATTGGTTCACTGTTCGATGTGAAATTTGTGATTGGACAATTATACGGTTAAAAGAGATGGTATTAATCTTGTAACACTCAGGTAACACTCTTTTAACAATCAGGTAACACTCAGGTAACACTCTGGTAACACTCTGGTATCACTCTGGTAACACTCTGGTAACACTCTGGTAACACTCAGGTAACACTCTGGTAACACTCAGGTAACACTCAGGTAACACTCTGGTAACCCTCAGGTAACACTCAGCTAACACTCAGCTAACACTCCGGTAACACTCAGGTAACACTCCGGTAATACTCAGATAATATTCAGGTAACACTCAGGTAACACTCAGGTAACACTCAGATAATTTTCAGGTAACACTCAGGTAACACTAAGGTAACACTCAGGTAACACTCAGGTAACACTCAGGTAACACTCAGATAATATTCAGGTAACACTCAGGTAACACTAAGGTAACACTCAGATAACACTCAGGTAACACTCAGTTAACACTCAAATAACACTCAAATAACACTCTGGTAACACTCTGGTATCACTCTGGTAACACTCTGGTAACATTTCCCAAATACAACCAAGTCTGTCGAATATTTTTTACATTGGATCATTTTCCTCCTCCGTCATGTTCCAGCTTCTCACGAGTAGCTTCTCCATTTCACTTCATACTTTGCAGGATGGGAATGAGATCATTATTTGTTAATGTCATGGGGGTGAATTAGTTCGACTTAATATGTGTAAAACTGATTATTATAACGTAATATGCCCATGATAAGATTTTTTTGTTTAACTTTAAAAGCGAATGTTTTTTACTTCGAAATAATTGTAATCCACCTAAAAATCGTAAGACATAATGTAAATTGCAGCAATAATATACATCAAAAACATCCTTCGTAAAGTAATCGTAATTACCCTTGAAATATGAATATGGGTAGGTTAATTAGTCAATTCAACTCGACAAATTATCTTTAAAAATCCGATGATAGAATAAAAAGATTTATTTTATTATGTAGGCGGAGAAGAAAATCAAGCAAAATTTATCTATTCCAAGCAAGTAAAAAAGCATAACAAAAAAGAGTAAACCAATTGTCAATGGCTATCACGACCGTCATCGTCTATCAAGATGAAAACTTTATCTAATCTGAAGACCTTATGATACCAAAAACGTTATTATCATCTTTTAACTTTTTAACGGTTTGAAAAGTTGATTCTGGAGAGTTGTCATGTCCTGAACTGGATCAATCAAACAATGAATTGTGTTTTAGTTCATTAACTATATCACAGCTCCAGAGCCAGTGTATCAGGGTAGGTTACTAGCTGGTTACCAGGTTACTAGCTGGTTACCAGGTTACTAGCTGGTTACCAGGTTACTTGCTGGTTACCAGGTTACTTGCTGGTTACCAGGTTACTTGCTGGTTACCAGGTTACTTGCTGGTTACCAGGTTACTAGCTGGTTACCAGGTTACTAGCTGGTTACCAGGTTACTAGCTGGTTACCAGGTTACTAGCTGGTTACCAGGTTACTAGCTGGTTACCAGGTTACTAGCTGGTTACCAGGTTACTAGCTGGTTACCAGGTTACTAGCTGGTTACCAGGTTACTAGCTGGTTACCAGGTTACTAGCTGGTTACCAGGTTACTAGCTGGTTACCAGGTTACTAGCTGGTTACCAGGTTACTAGCTGGTTACCAGGTTACTAGCTGGTTACCAGGTTACTAGCTGGTTACCAGGTTACTTGCTGGTTACCAGGTTACTAGCTGGTTACCAGGTTACTAGCTGGTTACCAGGTTACTAGCTGGTTACCAGGTTACTAGCTGGTTACCAGGTTACTAGCTGGTTACCAGGTTACTAGCTGGTTACCAGGTTACTAGCTGGTTACCAGGTTACTAGCTGGTTACCAGGTTACTAGCTGGTTACCAGGTTACTAGCTGGTTACCAGGTTACTAGCTGGTTACCAGGTTACTAGCTGGTTACCAGGTTACTAGCTGGTTACCAGGTTACTAGCTGGTTACCAGGTTACTAGCTGGTTACCAGGTTACTAGCTGGTTACCAGGTTACTAGCTGGTTACCAGGTTACTAGCTGCAGTTACCAGGTTACTAGCTGCAGTTACCAGGTTACTAGCTGGTTACCAGGTTACTATTTACTTCACAGATCTATCCCCACTGTATCAGGGGAACTAGCCGGTCTCTGCAGACAATGTCCTATCTGAGGACTAGAACTATAGGTCCTGCTCCCCCCGCCCCTGCTAGAACTAACAGTATTACCCACCGTCAGACTGCTCCTCCTCCCCCCACTCTCGTTAAAGGTCATGTAAGAGTTCTCCGAGCAGTGGGTCCGGCGTGTTTTAGCCATGTACGGTAAGCTCCTTACCACTAACTTCAACCTGTTCGTCAGGTTTATCTCGTGTCCCGTTGTGAGGAAGTAGAGGATGAAGTTAACCCAGCCTTGGGACATGTCAAAGAACGACATCAGGATGAGGAGGGTGTCGAACAGGGTGGAGGTGGGTCGCTGGCAGCCTGTTTTTATCAGCCAGAGAGTGACGAGAGTGCCCCAGAGCCGGACCAGGATAAACACAAACGGTATGGCTACTATCTTACCTGTTAGAGTTTTTTTTTTCGTTATGTTTATATCATTTGTTCCAAGTACCCGTTTCATGGCCGTTTCAATTAATTTATCGCCCGTATTTTCACACTGGGTATTGACTCCAGTCATTTTCCAGTACGAGATTTGGGACGGGTTCTACAAACAAACAACACAAACAAACATTTTACCTGTTTTGGCGATTGCGGTTACCAGAGAGGAGGAAGCGAGGTCGTTGCGGTTTTTTAAGTGTTTTACTTTGGTGTAGAGGAGAAAGTAGTAAACGAATACTGCCAGGTACATCGCTGAAAAAAAGTTTTAATAAAAATTAAAAAAAAAAGAAAGATTTTTCAATTTTCATTTATATTATTTGACCAAACTCAAAATTGGGTAGATAGGACCGCTGCCGCGTGTATCTTTTTCCCAAACAAAAGTAAATGATATTAATTTGAATTTACCGTCCGTAAATGCAAATTTACGGACGTTTATAAAAATGTAAAATTTAAAAATTGTTTATTAAAAATTTCTATGTACATAATGTTATACCTTAAGGGAGGTTATTCGAACGGACATTGCGTTAACGGACATAATTTTGAACGGAAATTAAAATGAACGCTCGAAGGAATTCATTTATTGTATTTAATTTAACTACCTTGTCAGACTTTATTTGAACGGACATTAAATGAACACTAGGGCCTCCGATCTGCAGTGTTCAATTAATGTCCGTTCAAATAAAGTCCGATAAGGTATGTATATTGTTGCTAAGGTATAGTCGCCGAGTGGATAGAATTGAAATATCACCTAATTTAGTTTACCGACCTCTCAGGCGGCACTTGAGATAACAGTATCGTAATACAGTTCATAAAAACCAAAACCGAATCTCAAATTACCCATTTCAAGAACTTTTCCATCCCAAAGCATCCAGTTACAGTTAGTTTTACAGTGGCAGACAGGATCATTTGTAATGTTTATCCAGCACCACTTTATGCCTGATGAAAAAAAAATTCAGTGATATAACCGTATAACGTTTGTGCAACCTCAAGGAGATCGAATAAAGAAACCACATATTTCACATATTTCTCTGCTGATAGGTACTTAGGTACAAGGTAGTCCATAATTTCATAATTCATATATGGCTACAAATACAATGAGCATTTTAATGAGCATTAATAATAAGCACAATAATAATTTCGCTGAGAACTGGACTTACCGACAATTTGAGAGCCACCCAGGATGTTTACACAGTAAAGGTACACATTCTCAGCAATAACTCCGGCAGTCATCATAGATAGAATGATGAACCCGCCTCTCACAGCCTCCTTCCTGTTACAATAGTTGGTTAGAGTCGTAATGAGAATCAAAAATTCTTTATTTTCCTGATATAAATGAACTCAGATTCATATTCGCTTGCCTACTTACTAGCATGGTCAGTACTAGGTTACTAGCTGGTTACTAGGTTACTAGCTGGTTACTAGCTTACTAGCTGGTTACTAGCTTACTAGCTGGTTACTAGCTTACTAGCTGGTTACTAGCTTACTAGGTTACTACCTGCATGCTACAAGTATAAACATGTGTTGCGCTAGTCCTGCAGTCCAAATCATCGACACTTGTGCTCCCACCGTTGTGAAGAAAGACTGAAATAGAAGAAAACTACAAGAAAATCATTCAGTTCAATATGTAGAACATTTTGTAACGGAATTGATGGTTCTTAACCAAATAATATTATTTTAACACAGATCAAATTAGTTTATTACTTAGTTGACTAACTCTACTCAATTATTAGTTAGTTGAATAACTAAGCTGCGAAGTATACCTGTATTTTGCAAAGTTCCACTGTTTCTAGTGATTTATTGTTTGTCACAAAAATTATCTCACTCATGAGAGCAGGAAGGGCTACCATAATATCTGAAATTTATTTGGTTACTAGGTTACTATTTGGTTACTAGGTTACTATTTAGTTACTAGGTTATTTTGCTTTCCAACACTTCCAATTTACAAGCAATCAAATCGGGAAGGCAAGTTATCAAATTTGTAAAACTGTTAAAGTAGCTAAGTAGGTAAGTAGTTAAGTGGTACAATTATCAATATTGGCGATGTGACAAAGCTTACCAGCTATAGCCATGATGACGACAATACATCTTGAAGCCGTGCGTACACTTCTCACCAAGAGGAATGAGGCAATGATTACACAAGCTCCGATTACTGAAAGTAAGTGACCATTTTTAGATCAGTTCTATATTTCCAGTCATAACGCTGTAACACATGACATAGTACCACACTACTTTTGATAAGTTGCCACCAGGGACAAAAGGATTTCGCGATTATTTTGGCCAAAAATCGCGATACCGCGAATTTTAACAGACTATACATTAAACTATACATAAAATTTGTCGCAAATAATGGGAAAAATCGCGATTCCGTACATGCCGCAATTTCCTTTTGTCCCTGGTTGCCACATTGTAACAAGATACTAAGGTCTGTATCACTTTCCGCTGAAAGTTCTAGAAGGTGACCAGTTTCTGATTTAGGTATAAATGTTTACTTTTTAGCCGTTTGAGATTTCAAATGTCTGCAATGACAGCTATTTCAATCCAGAAACTTCAGTAAATTACCAGAAATTACCACTTTCCTAGGAAGAAGGAAACAAATATGATAAGCGCTGTAGAGTAGAAGGTTACTACATAATATTAATATTCTGGTACTTGATTACTATAGTTTAAATATATAGTTACTAGGTTACTAGGTTGCTAGAGGTTACTAGGTTGCTAGAGCTCTAGAGGATGTTAGAGGATTTTAGAGGTTGCTAGATGTTTCTAAAGGGTGCTAGACGTTGACAGACTGGATAAAAAGTATTAAAATTTGGTAACTAAATTATTATTTGGTAACTAAGTTATTATTTGGTAACTAGCTGGAAGTTACCTGAACAAGAGGAACACGTGATGATTAGCACAGATCTCAGCGTCTCTTCAACACCAGCCTCACTGTTGTTTTTACTCATATTACTTACTGGTTACTACAGCTGGTTACTTGGTTACTAGCTGGTTACTTGGTTACTATAGGTTACTACATCTGGTTACTAGGTTACTAGCTGGTTACTAGGTAACTAGCTGGTAACTTGGTTACTAGGTTACTAGCTGGTAACTCGGTTACTTGATTACTAGCTGGTTACTACACTAACACTCAGTTATCAAAATATTTGATCGAACAAGCATTTTGAGACCAAGCACACAAAAAACAAAAAGATTTTCGTAAAAAAGCAACAATGATCACACTCTGAGTGACAAAAAGGAAAAAGGAAAAGAATTTACTAATAATCCAGTTCCGCATAACACAACTTACAGTACAGCTTATACAATATACACCAAATCTCGTGAAATTTGATACGCTCTCATGTGATGAAGATAGCGAGTCTTATTTTTACTTGCCGTACAGTTTCATGCATTAGTAATACAGTATATCTTCATCTGTATCAAGGTAACCAAGTAACCAGCTAGTAACCTAGTAAACAGTTACTGAACCTAGTAACTTAGTTACTAGTAACCTAGTTACTAGTAACAAGTTACTAACCTAGTAACTAAATAGTTATTTAGCAGGTCTTCTTTTTACTTGCGTACAGTTTCATGCATTAGTAATACAGTGTATCTGCATCTGTATCAAGGTAAGCAAGTAACCAGCTAGTAACCTAGTAAACAGTTACTGAACCTAGTAACCTAGTTACTAGTAACCTAGTTACTAGTAACCAGTTACTAACCTAGTAACTAAATAGTTATTTCGCAGGTCTTCTTTTTACTTGCCGTATCATAGTTTCATGCATTAGTAATACTGTATATCTTCATCTGTATCAAGGTATCCAAGTAACCAGCTAGTAACCTAGTAACCAGTTACTTACCTGCAGCTAGTTACCAGCTAGTAACCTAGTAATCAGTTACTTAACCAGCTAGTAACCAGCTAGTAACTTAGTAACCAAATACTTAACCAGCTAGTAACCTAGTAACCAGTTACTCAACCAGTTAATAACCTAGTAACCAGATAGTAACCAATTAAATTTAACCAGATGATTACTTAGCAGGCTTTATTTTTTTCGCAAAATGTATACTATTGTGTATCAAACCTGTACACTAAAAGAAAATTGGCCTTTTTCTCGTAACAGTTTATGTTATAGTATTATAATATAAAATATATTGGCACCTCAATAGACAGATTTACCAAAAGTTTCATCATTTTTCGAACACTGCCTTTTAAAATGTTCACCCCTTAAAAAATGTATCTTTGGATCCACCCCTTAACATTTCTTTTGAAAGCATGACGAATCCAAAAGATTATAATCTGAACGTTGATGTCACCCTGGTTAGAAGATATTATTTATATATCATCGAGATATAAGATCCTGGAGAAGTTGGCTAGGTTTATCAGTCTCATGATAAGATAAGTCTCTACTACCGGATATTATCCCTGGAATCAATATCATCGAGACTGCGTAATATGTTCCTGCGATAATATTGATATTAATGCAATTGTCGTGTAGAAATAGTGTTTTACTCAAAGTTAGGCGGTTACTCAACAAGTTAGCAAGTTAGCTAGTTTGGCTACTGACGTATATAATTATAAAAGGTAGGAGTGGGAGACGATCTGACATTCACGCGTTGCCAAGCAACGGTTGCTTGTAACCCTTAAAGTTGGAGCTCTGGCAATGCTTCATTTAGTCTGACGCTCGCGCTTTATATTTAGGTTGATCATTGTTAAAACATATATCTCGAATAGCCAGATACTTTCGTTTAGTTGTAGGTCCATGTATTTATCGCTGCTTGCGTTAATGTAATTTGGTTGGTTATAGTTATAATTTGATAGAGATCTGGTGCAACATATAAAAGGTATAAGTGTCTACGAAAGAGTTTTGTCAAGTTTAAAGTATGAGAATTCAGAATACTGTAGATGACGATATCATCTATAAAAATCCACCGGAACAGTTAACGGACAGACGGTTCATTATCAGATTATAGGGGTAACTCTCTGATTTTGAACGTTAAAAATAGAATTGTAATACTACCCTCACGTCACAAATTTCAAGAGCACTCCCGTTTTTATATGAAGTTCTAGAGCCCATAAAAACTGCGTATATATATAATTATTGTAACGGTTTACCATCACCGAGATATCTAATCAGAACTTGCAACGTTACAACATTTCGCATGACCATTCTCCAAAACTTCTCCCGTTTTCATTAATCAACCAAACCCAAATACGATCCATCCAGCTTTAAATCCATCCTATGAAACAGACAATTTTTATGATATCCCCAGCATGACAAAATGAGAAGTAACAAATTACAATTTTAAAGATAATCGGGTAACCACCCCACAGATTATACCATATACCTGTAATAGTGTCTGAAAATTCAGTGTGAGGAAGATGGCGAAATTTTAGTATTTTAAAATTTAAAGACTTTGTTCGTTTGAGCTGCTGCACTTCCTCTACTCTTGTTTTTACAGGCACAGATTTTTGCACTCGTTTTTACAGTTGCAAATATGTTCTTTTGTAAACTGTTGGAGAGATAGATGGTAATATTCAGATTATGAGTTTAAATAATCATAAATATTTTAGTTTAAATAACATATAATTTAATTGAACTTGTTTTTTTTTTCTTAAGGGACTGTCGATGCAATTATTTCACTAAAAACGACAAATATCTAAACAAAACTGCCGTATCTACGCTTTAAGAGGACGAATTTGTAACAGGTAAATCACGTGACCAGCCATACGTTAAGTAGATTCTCCTCGCTCCATCACTTTTTCAGTTAGTTGCTATAGTAACATCAATCAGTTCAATATTACCATTCCTGAAGAAAAGAAAAAACCAAGTGTCTCATTTGACGCAATTTTTGAAATGACCTCAAAGATCAAACTTACCCGGCGCGCCATTTCCTTCGCAAGCATTTGTTTAGCTTCTTCTAGTTGTCGCATATAACATGAGAAAAGCGAGCCGTAAACAAAATATATGGTCCATTGACAGTTCACCCATGCCTTTCAACATGTCAAACAACATGTCTAACAACATCGTTCCAGATTAAAACCACCCACACTCCACTATTACCCCACCCCAGTGACTTCACCATCCTAAGCTGCGACGGTGATTATTGACACATGTTATTTGATAGCTTTATAATTCTTAAAGTCTTAAAATCGACGCGGATATCAGCCTACTTGACAGTTGCAGATATGATACCTTGATAAGCATGCAGATAAATAGACGACAATTTGAAGACACATATACTTATTTCATATGATAATGATAAATAACTGGTGACGAAATGAGGGTCTCCAATCATACTGTAAAACAAAATTCATCAATTTTTGACAATGCTTTCCCCAGTTATTTAGTGTGTGTAATTATATTGCTGTTTAAATGATTCATTTGTCAAAGCTGCGTTGACACGATCTTTCCTTTTCGTGGTATCTATTTCACTTTCTTGGTATTTAATTCACTATTTAAGGGGGGGGGGGGGGGGGGGGGGGGGACAATGGATATTTTTTTGTGAAACTTGATTTCGAGATAGCAGTTGACCAACAAACTAGGACCAGTGACCGAACTTTTGAGGGTGTCCCGGACCCCAACCGCCAAACGGTGCCCGCGGGGCAGCCACGCCCATATTTGATCCAAATTAGGCCCAATTTAGCCAAATACCCTGAACATGCCCAAAACCCAGATTTTATGTGCTCTACTTGTAGCTAGTGGTCTCTTGAACTCGTATATGAAATTTCATCAAGATTGGACAAAAAATGACTGAGTTATGGGCCAAAAACCATATGCCCATATTTGGGTATACGCACCAAATTTTGTAGATTTCGTCCCATAAATTGGGCAAATATCAATATTTTTGAATGAAACTTACTTTATAAGAAAGATAAGCCTAAACTACATATTCTCTGTAAGTTATAGCTTTATATCTGTTTAAATGTGGATACTAAGGCGAAAAAACCACAAAAAATGAACTAAATTGCCCGTATCTTGGTTCGCGATATTCGCGGAATTGATCTCATTAAAATTGTAACAACTCAATCAGTTTTCAAAATTTTTCCATGAAATTTTTGGAATCGACTCACAATCGCATTTCCACCTTAGTTTGAGAACAAATTTTTGATTTAGGCCTCCAAAAAAATTTGGCGGCCAAATTCCAAAATTTTCCCGGAAAAATTCAGAATTTGGCCGCCAAATTTTTTTGGAGGCCTAAATCAAAAATCTGTTCTCAAACTAAGGTGGAAATGCGATTTCGAGTCGATTCCTAAAATTTCATGGAAAAATTTTGAAAACTGATTGAGTTGTTACAATTTTAATGAGATCAATTCCGCGAATATCGCGAACCAAGATACGGGCAATTTAGTTCATTTTTTGTGGTTTTTTCGCCTTAGTATCCACATTTAGGCAGATATAAAGCTATAACTTACAGAGAATATGTAGTTTAGGCTTACCTTTCTTATAAAGTAAGTTTCATTCAAAAATATTGATATTTGCCTAATTTATGGGACGAAATCTACAAAATTTGGTGCGTATGCCCAAATATGGGCATATGGTTTTTGGCCCATAACTCAATCATTTTTTGTCCAATCTTGATGAAATTTCATATACGAGTTCAGGAGACCACTAGCTACAAGTAGAGCACCTAAAATCTGGGTTTTGGGCATGTTCAGGGTATTTGGCTAAATTGGGCCTAATTTGGACCAAATATGGGCGCGGCTGCCCCGCGGGCACCGTTTGGCGGTTGGGGTCCGGGACACCCTCAAAAATTCGGTCACTGGTCCTAGTTTGTTGGTCAACTGCTATCTCGAAATCAAGTTTCACGAAAAAATATGTCCCCCCCCCCCCACCCCCCCCCCCCCCCCCCCCCCCCCCCCCCCCCCCCCCCACCCCCCCCCCCTTAAATTCGACAATCCCGATTTGCAACTCAATTCTCTCTGGGTAACAATTGAGTGGTTGCCTTCCGTCCACTATCCCATTCAGAGATTTTACAACCTTAAAAGTTTCTGAGAAATGCCAAA